TCTATTTTTGTAGACCCTTGGACAAATATTATGTGCCGTCAAATAAGTCAACACATTACAATATTTGCTTAAAATCAATTCAAGATCACGTATATTTTACCACCGTTTTCATAATCAAACAATTTTAACTAGAGATTGAATCAATCATATTATTTCAATTAATTTCATAACAATATTTCACGTAGTTTCTTAATCTGACCACATTTATGTAAATAACTGATAAAAAATATATTAAAATGCTTTATGAAAACAAAACATTTATTTAAGAAGAAAAGTTAATGTGAAACTTCTAGTTTCTTTGTTGAGAAAACTAAGAATAATTAGTTATTATTTATTTTATTTAAAAATCATTATAAAATATATTTCAAAATCGTATAATAATCAGACATAACATTTCTTTAATGAAAATATCACAAATTATTACAAAGTCATTGAAATATTTCATGCGGTTATTAAATCTGACCACATTTTTTTTTAAATATATTAATATGTTTGCGATTAAAAGTTATTTATTTAATAAAATAATAATGTGAAATATCGTAACTATATGAATGTTATTTGTTGTTTCTTAGTTTCTTAAGAAATAAAATTAATAATTAGTAATTTCATAATGATAATTTATATTTGAAATGAAGCTTCAAATATAAATTATAATTTTTAGATTTTAATGAAATTAATTATATTATTGAATGAAAATATACAAAAAAAAGTTGTCATTCCAACTTATTGGTGTGTAATTATTTATACCTAAGTTTATAAAATTAACTTTATAACTGTTTTTGCACTATAGCTGATATTAATTTAATTGTTTCAAGATGAGTCAATGTATTTAGAAAAATGATCATATTTACAAATATTATAACATAAATGTAATATATTTTGATATATTTTATAATTATAAATATTTAACTTGTTTTTGTTAAATAATAAGTAATCCGGATATGTAGAAAAAAAACAATTAAAAATAAACCGATGAGCTCGACCCTAACAGTGTGTAGCATCTTAAAAATCAACATGCTTAGCTAGTAGCAGACCGGATCTATGTAGATTAACTAATGGATCTGTCTGGGGGACCAATCGGAAAGGAAATCCGTTCGTGTGAAGCGTATGTTATCAATAACTAACAAACAAACAAAAAAACTGGTGCATCCAGAATATCTTCAACAACATATTTGGATGGATACGGTATTACAGTAATTACAACAAGTATACAACTTGGAGATGTCCACCTTGAAAGTTAATAGCTTAAAATAAAATTTTAATTTGAATCTTCCGAGCGTAAGTATTTATGGATATTAATGCGCTATTTCAGTACTGACGCACTGAACGGCCTTTGTTCACGATCTTCGTCGCATAATTGATTCATTGCTAATCGTAAGCCATGTGCTCCACATAATTCTAACCAGAAATAGAGAAGAGAACGAATCAAATACGACAATTCATACAACATTTTAACTAAATTAAAACTTAACACACACAAAACAAATCTTAATAATTTATGAAATATAATTCAGATTTCTATCAATGCTCTCTTAAAATAGAACTGTTTACGGCTTAATTAAGCAGAGAAAGTTCGCATGCGAGAAACAAACGAAAAATACATTTTCTAATTACGCTCGAAACAAAATCGAATGTAAACTGAGAAAATTGCTTCCTGAATTTTTGATTTATTTCCTTACTAAGCTAACCGCAGGTTAGGATTTTACTAAAGAAAATTAAAGTATAATAACAATCTTTAATAGCAGCGTGCGAAGTTTATTGCGCCTTGTAACCTAGAAATGCGTTTTTACGATACGAAAATACTTTCATACCGTGACTACCCACAGGAAGTTAGTAAAGCGGTTGGTTTACGCAAATTGGATCGGCGAGATTTGCATGAAAACCGACTAATTGCAATGATAAATAAATACCGAACACGTATATATTTTTTAAGGAATATTTCAGGAAGTTACGGAAGAAATCATTCCGCTTGTTGTTTGCAACTGTTTCTTTCTGTTTTTTTTTTTCGGATGTAAATATTTTGTGGTATTGTGGAAGAAGGTTCTCACAGGTCGGGGAATAATCTTGTCGAAAATTACTTTATTCTTATCATTCTACATTGTCCAGAAAAGAAGTCGGCACATTTTCATAATAAGTTTTAATAAAACGTAACGACATCGTGGGAGCAGAAAAGAGCATTACTCACAATGCGGAGGGCATTTATAATAATTACCAAGAGAAACTAAAACAATCAAGGAAAATGTGTGTGTGTGTGTATGTTAGCTTCTCTTTCTTTCCTTTCTACATGCGTCATCTGAGGTTTGAAAATTAGAAGAATGACGAGTATAATAAGCTACCGTTAAGATCTTGCGTACGTTGTTTTTTTATACGTTGTGCGATTATTAAAAGGAAATTGTATTCTATTGTATTCCAATTCCCATACAGTTTGTGCGTATACCAAAATACACCTAGATTCATTAATTAATATTATGATTATGACGAAGCCCCTTTGAGAAACGCCATTGACTACGATAAGAACAGGAACGGACTCGATTCGCATACCTACTTCGGCCCGTTTAAAGCCCAAATTTCAGTTCTGAGAATTCGCATTGTAACATGTTTAAACTGCAATAAAGATAGGAATAACTGGAATTCCCTTCTATTAATAAAATATATAAAGTTTCGCACACCTAGCGTTCATTGTTTAACTTTTATAAAATCTAAAAGTTTTTTTTGTTATTAGAAAACCAATTTTCAAACTCAAAATGAATAGAAATAATAATTTACAATTTACAAAAGTATTATTGAAACTATCTAAACTAAGCAAATCATTTGTCACCTCATAATTACGTATAAATCAAGCTGATATTATCAATATTAATCACGTAAATTCTACGTAATTCTATTGCAAAAAGTACGCGATACGAGGTTTTTCTCTCAATGATACAATTTGATAAACAAACTTTCCATTCCTTTATGGAAATTTTTCGTTTTTCTAACTGTTATTCATGTATAAATACTTAATTAACATAAATATGCAATCACAAACATATTAAATAACGAAATCTTAATTATACACGATTTATTGATGCAATGACAAATCAGCTTCATTCATATATAACAGCTGACACGTTACATAAGTTTTTTTAATAAAATTAGAGAAGTCGTATGTATATTTCGGTTTTGCTTCAAAATGTATTGCGTAAATGATATTGGAAACATAGCATATATTATGTGACGTGTGCAATCTCGGTGTAGGAAGCATAGACATCGTTTCTTTTGTCGGAATACACCTTTTTTAAAAAACTATTAATTTATGGGTTTTATGAAACAAACAAGTTTTTTTTACTTCGCTTAACATAAATCTTAAATTCCAGACTCTATTAAATTAAATTATGTCTATTACAAAACGAGTATATTGATGATGTTTTAAAATCAATACGCTTTTATGGAATAAACAATATTTTTTTTGCACAATAATTTCAAATTCAAAACTTTGCTTTGCTTTAATTCCTACAATGACGAAATCATACAGATTATTTCGTTTAGTTATGCATAGATACTTTTTAGGTGCACAATTGAAACTTATAGAGAGGTTGCATGCCTTCCTGTCGTTTTTATCGCTATTTAAATTATTGTATTTGCAAACAATCGTTCAAACGAAACCAATAAATGATTACAATTTCCGCTCATTCTTAACTTGTATAAGCATGTATGAATGATAAATAATTATTATTTCTTCATTTATTTTAATTACAAATAAACAATAATAAACTTAAATATCATATTTAGTTCAAATAAATCTAAATTTATTATTGTAAAGTCTACATATATTTAGTAATAAATTATTATTATTGAATTTTCTACTGTTTTAAATCTGTCATTTAATTATTTAAGTCAATTTAACTTCTAAGTAAATACAACAGTATTTTAATGACAAACTTTACTGAGCAGATGTTCTATTTTAAACTGGACATATTTGCTTTTACGTACCTAAAATATATTATTTTTTTCTCAATAGAAATGTTCACCTTTCATCCGATTTCTTTTGTTGAAGACAAGTCAACCTTCGTTAACTATTTTTTGAGAAATTATTTTCACTTGCGTACCGTGATTTCCCGCTCTATATCTATATTCCATCTTTAGTATTAATAATTTATATTTACTTAATCATCAATAGAAATATAACACATGTTTGTAATAATCACTGTAATGCATATGAAAATATAGAAATACTGGATACAAGTAACACAAATTAAATATAATTAATTTATTTTTAATAATTTAACAAATCGAGTGTATTTTTTGCTCCTATTTATTTTAAAAAGTAAATTTTGATTATTGATGATAAATATATAAAATGCAAATCAATCATTTAAAATTACATCATTAACCAAATTTGTAATATTAATTTTTATGTAGAAATTATACATTTTCTTGAATCAATTATTTTTTTTATGTAATTTGGTGGACTTTTAAATTCTGATGATTTTGGATAACGTGAAAATGTGAATCTAGGTGTGAAGGCATTTGATGTAGTGGGAGTGAAAACAAAAGGCGGCGTTACGGTACTGCGGAGAGTGCGTACTTGGGCCGCAGCGTAACGTAATGATTTGTCAGCTCGAGGCTTCATTCATGAATTAGTAGTCGGCCGGGTTGTTGTTGCTTCTGCTGCCTCTGCTATTGCCGTTGCCGCTACCATGAATGTGTCGTACGTGCCGTAACACCATCGCAGTCCATCCACCAGAGTACCGTCAACCCTCAACGATGTCTTCGAGTCTCCACGCTGTGTACTGACCCCCCAGAACGATCGGACCTGGAATAAACAAGAACAAAAGTGCTGTTTGCGTGGGCCTCCAAAGGCCATAACATCCTCGAAAGACTTTTCGCCTCGCGTTCGGAGCGAAGCAAATACTCATCATCATACAAAGAGACCAAAAAGAGACACTCACCAACACGCACGCACGCTTACATATACACTCACACGGAGACACACTCATGTCATGCCGTCCCATTCATTTTTTCCTCGTCAGGATATGGTTAAATAAAACATGGCGACGGACGACATGGATGTTCGCATAGAAGAACGTTTAAAAATTAAAATCGGTAAGTAAAACACATTTCTTCCTGCCTTTCTGCCTACAAAAAAATCAAGAAACCTCTTCCAAACAACTGAGAAAAAAGCTATCGCCGTTTTCTCATCGCGAATCCCTGTCAAAACCAGCAAAGAACTCGAATAAAAAAGAAGCAACAGAGAAGACAAGAAGAAATATATTTCTTCATGTATAGTATGGAAAGGAGCAACGGGGAAATAACCTCAATTTCCTTTCGTTCCATTACAATTCTCAGTCTGCAGGTGCCACACAGATATCCATCCAATTCTCGCTTGATTAATGGCATGCTATTTATTTTTAGCCGAAACTTCGGTCTCGGTTTCTCCTCTGAAAAAAGATAATACAGATCTCTCCACTCAATTTAGGTTAGAATCTCGATCAGACCAAAACAAATGACAACCACTGTAAACACACAGCTATGATTATATAAACCACAACCAATCAATGACCATTTGCACTCAATCAAGTCACACCCCCATTCATTGATTGATTACAAACAATAAACAAAACATAGAACCAATCATTGTTGTTTTTACAGGGGAGGCAAAGAACCTGCTGAGCCGTAACCATGGTTCATCAGTTTGCAGAGATGTCTACTGCACACTGTCCTTGGATCAAGAAGTCATATTCCGAACATCAACCATTGAAAAAACTTTAAGGTAAATCTACATGCTTACATATATTTATAAAAAGACTATTTTAAAAGCATTATTTTTAGCTGCTAGTCTAGAAAGTAGAAAAAAGTGGCCAGACACAAATAAACATTACACACTCTTTCCTATCTAAATTTGTGGGTTTATTTATCTTTACATCTGTTTCAGCCCCTTCTTCGGAGAGGAGTTTCAATTTGAGGTGCCAAGGAAGTTTCGTTACTTATCTGTGTACTTGTATGATAGAGACAGGCACCTGAAGCAGGATAAAGTCCTTGGCAAAGTGGCCATCAAGAGAGAGGAGCTGGCTCCATACAATAACAAAGATCATTGGTTCCCCATTCGTCCAGTCGATGCTGATTCAGAAGTGCAGGGAAAAGCCAACATAGAAATTAAGTTTGAACCACTGCTAAGTCGGAACAATTCTACATATTCGTCCAAGAAACGACTGTCAGTGCGCGTCATTGAGTGTTTAGATCTGACTCTGAAGAATGGTTCATGTGATCCATATGCCCTAATAACTGTTGTTTATACCAATGAGAAGAAAGTGACAAAAAGGACCAAAGTTCGGAAAAAAACGACATGCCCGCAATTCGATGAGATATTCCAATTTGATAACTATGAGGATCGTGATAGAGACAAGGATACTTATACAGTGTGCCCCGAAAGTGAAGTGGAAATATGTGAGTTGAATGTTTCCATTTGGCACAATGGCATGGGTGGAGACATTTTCCTTGGTGAAGTGAAAGTTCAGCTGAGGGGGCTTCAACAGCAGAACGCTGCTCTGAAAAATGCATGGTAAGAGATTTATTTGTTGTTATTAACATTTCATTACAAATTCAAATTACAGTTTACAAGATTTACATTGCATAATATACATAACCAGAAATAAACTTGTGAATTAAACCTTTGCGACGTTTATGTGCATTGCACTTCAAAAACCAGCAACTTGAGCTGTTGTTTTTATTTCAATGACCATTGAAATAATTTGCTTAAATAAATAGTATTTCTTATTGCAAGTTGAAACTAACAAAAAAAACAAATGCTCAGCAGATGAAAACTTTGTGTGAAAAATGATGTCACGTTTATTTATAATTGCTATACTGTAAATTGCTTTATCCTTGATTCAAGTCATTCATTCATATATACACATTGATTTTTTTTTCACGAATAGATTTATGAATGAAATGCTATGAATGGCAAAGGAAACGCATCGCGCAGGATTCTAGCGGACTGAATGCAAAATTCTTAACCGTTGCCCATCTCCATATTATTCAAATTGTACAATCAACATTTAATCTAGTTCCTAATGGTCCTTAGATATTTCGAAGTTATGCAATTAATAAATAACGTTTTTTAAGTGGTGAGATGAGCAATTAATTAAATCTACTCGAGATAACGCATACACTAATTATTGTATCACAACACAAACAACATAATGTTTCTCATTATATACGAAGATAACGATTGTGTACTTTCAATGTTTCAGAGAGAAAAAACAGTGTATGTCTCGTTGTTTGAGAAACATCGTATTACAAGCAACCCTTTTTTGGGGTGTGCACTCTCATGACTGTTTTGTATCAACATTCTAAATATAGTAGCTTGTTGTAAATAGTATCTATTTCAGTTTTACTTTAACTAAGGAAACGACTACAGTTATATAGATTTTGTTTTAATTAACGAATATAATTTAAAAAATATTATCATCTTTTTAACCGCATCCAGAGGATTTCCACTAAAACCACCAACTACATTTATTTAGGTTATTTTCAGTTTATTCTGTACTTATTCTGTATTAATAATAATAACATTTATTGCAACAAATCACCATACTACCAATTCAACAAAATAACATAATAAGAAAATTAAAATCAAATTGATCTGCTACAGATTGAGTAATATACCTAAACAAATTACAATGCAATATCTATATGGTAATTATTCAAGATGATACTAGATAGATCAGAGTTAAGAAATAATGTTATGTCTATCGTTTTTTGACAAAGATTAATTGCAATTGTATGTTTTTATTGCATTTACCGAGATTTGATTGTTTATTTTTGTACCTGTCATTGAGGAACAAACATTTAAGTGTACAAATATGTAATAGATAAAAGCTCATCCGACTTATTTTTACATTATTGTCTAGCTTATGGTGATTTAGATAATAGCCATTAAGTTTCTCGTCTTATCTATGGCGTGTAAAGTGGTCTGTAAAAATGTGCACCCGTTATCAAAGCAGTATCCGAGTCAAACACAACGAACTCCTCCTCTTCCTAATGAGTAAATAATTAGATGCCGGTTCATTGATTTCCCTTTTTCATAATTATCGCAATTTATTTACGACTCGTTAAATGGTCGATATTATTCCACCTGTTCATTCATAATTGAAACTAGTTTTATCATAATTGAGAATGTATCTGCTTACGCTTCAGGCTTAATTTATGCAGCGCAGATGAAATTACACGTCTCGTAATAATCTCCCATTAATTTTTTTATTATTGCCGTTTCAGGTATTTCTTGCAACCTAGGTCGAGCAAAAATAAGCCTCATGTTTCCGTTTCTACACCGCCAGGGACACGGCTCTCCATTGACAACTCTTTAGGATCTCTGAGGCTACAAGTACAATACACGGCTGATCACGTTTTTCCGGCTAAAGTGTACGAACCTCTTCGCAATCTCTTGTTGGATAGTGTTAACGTCAGAGTAAGTCTTAATGCTTAGAAAATCTTATATCGACGCAATTAACTTTATTTTTTTTTATTAGCCAATAATAAATAGTCCAGTCTATTTGTTGGGAGACATAGTTTCTAGTAAAATGGATGTAGCTCAGCCTCTGGTGAGGATATTCATGCATCACGAAAAGATAGTCCCTATTATCAGGGCACTCGCTGACGCAGAGATCTCTAACGTAACGTAAGTAAATATTGATTCTCGATAACCGTTACATAATTTCGTAGGGCTTCCAATTTCCAAAATTTCATTAATAAAAAGGCTTCTCTCATACACATCATGAAAACAAAACTGTGTGCGCGCATGTAAAAGATGCTCGATTTTGTAAATATTTACACGAATATTGCAGCAAAGTGTGTTTCTATAATAAATATTTAATTTTGCTTTAAACACATGTTCTGTTTGTTTAATGTTGTCGGGTCGGTCTTTCGCAACAAAATGCATGCTCATAAACAATAAAAGCCGGGTAACACATTGTTTTCTGATTAAGTTGCACCAACCTCAAATGCAATTTGCTTCCAAGAAAAACAAAACTTTCGTCTTTGCTGTTTGCGTATTTCGATTGGAAAATATTGATCTTCGCTCCAAAGTCAATAACTACCGGGCATGTGTGTTTTTATGTAAAACACAAAAATTATATTTGTTTTTATTGCACATTCTCAGATTTTATTTATTTTCTTTATGAATAAGCATTAGCAAAACTTTTATAGTTAGCATCGACATTTTTTTCAAAAGAGAAGTATGAATTCAAGTTCTCTCATTGCCTATTTATAATAGAACATTCTACTATTATCTATAATTACGTTAATGCAATCAAAATGCAACCATATTTTTGATTTCTAACTCATATCATTATTTTCCCAGGATCAATCTGATATAGAGGCGTATCATACTTTTTTAGTTGGTAATCTGATGACATCCTGTTTTATTTTTAAAAGTATATTATAGTTGTGTTTATACTTAAAATTTATTTGTCTCGAGTTTCCTGAGTTTTAAGAATTATTATTTAAATTTATTACTTAATTACATCAACTTATTATATTTATACCTATAAATTAATTATTTTCTTACTTGATATCGTCAGTGTGCATACATGCATAACTGTTCACAAATTGAAACCTGGTCAATATAATAGTTCGCGTTTCCTGTAGAGAGTTTGTGCTAATATTTCTACTAAATATTGTACATACCAGTCACTTATTGTATTTATTCAAGTTGTTTACTGAATTTATACTTGCTTTAGAAAAATATATTAAATGAATTTACATGAATTACGTTCGCAGTATAAATTTAATGATTGTGTGATGCCATTTTATTTGATATATTAAATGGTGTAAATGAAATTGAGATTTAGCATATTAAATGAGCTGTTCTTTATTTATATTTGTTGTGCGCAAGTGGACTGTAAGTAAAATTGTGTCATCTTGATTTATATATTCAGAATGAAAAGTAGAACGCGGCCAATACGGACGTTGCTATCTCATTACGATTACTACCTATGATCAATGGAGCCGCATAATGTTAATGAGCAAATATGTTTTCTCTTAGGGATGCGACGACAATTTTCCGTGGAAACACTTTAGTATCTAAGATGATGGATGAGGCAATGAAGATGATTGGCATCCAGTACCTGCATAAGACACTCCGACCAACGATAGAGCAAGTCTTCCTCGAAAAGAAGCCGTGCGAGATCGATCCGACGAGAGTGAGAGACGCCACCACGATCCAAGCGAACTTGAGCAATTTGAAAAGTTATGTCCATGGCATTTTCCGTGCCATTACAGAGAGCGCCGTCCATTGTCCAGCTCTGATGTGCCAGATTTTCGACAACCTCAAAGAATGTGCCATGACTTACTTTCCGGATAACAAAGAAGTCCGATACTCCGTCATATCCGGTTTCATTTTCTTGAGGTTCTTTGCTCCGGCCATTCTGGGTCCGCGACTCTTCGATTTAACCAGCGAACAAATTGTAATTACATCAAATGACCCGCATCATCACATTCATTACATTTCGTTTTAACTTTCAGGACGCGCAAACTAATCGTACCTTAACATTAATTTCTAAGACGATACAATCACTGGGAAATTTAGTGAGTTGTAGATCGACTCAGCAAGTCTGCAAGGAAGAATATATGGAATGTGTGTATAAAGAGTTTTGTACGGAAACGCACGTCAGGGCCGTCCGGCAATTTCTTGAAATCATTTCCGCCAACTCGAATCAAAAGCACATCGCAGTCGATACTCCGGTCACCTTAAAAGAAGGGTAAGCTATACCATCATTTCTCGTTTGAAATCAACACTACTTTTGTTTTCGTTGTTGTATCATTCGCTTTAACTTTTATGTTTAAATCTGTTTCTGCAACCGAAAAGGGAAATTAAAAGGTAAAAAGATAGAAAATTTAGAGCTTCAGCGTAAAAAGATAGTTTGATTATATTTTATTATAGACGGATCGTGCATTACAAATCGGTCTGTCGGCAAAATTAAATGAAACGATATCTTTGACCTTACAATTTTATATAATAAAAAAATCAATCGTTTTGACGCTATGTTTGTATCTACGCGAAGTTTTGAAAACATGGAATCAAAACGATTCAAATTATTTGGCTGGTGGTTGTTTTTGATTATGCAAGCATGACATTCGACATATTTATTTCATTATCAATTCGTGAATGCTACGTACATTTAGTTGATAAAGTTGCAGAAACTTATATATGATTTATTTATAATTCGATAGATCAGATGCAATAAATTCTATCGAGTTATAATATCATTATTAAGACAGAAATAAAGATACTGTTTTTTATTTTTCTTATAATAATAATAAAAGTATCATTTGTTTCTTGAGTATTGTAGAATGTAATTTAATTATTTTTCAATATTATCTTTCATCAGGATAATGATAAAGAGAGCTCAAGGAAGAAAACGGTTTGGCCGCAAGAATTTCAAGCAGAGATATTTCAAATTAACCACTCACGATCTGAGTTATTCGAAGATGAAAGGTCGTGAACCTCTGTGTCAGATTCCTCTATCGAATATTTTGGCCGTCGAGCGGCTACAGGAGAAATCTTTTAAAATGAAGAACATGTTTCAAATAGTGCAGAAAGAGAGAGCTTTGTATGTGCAGGCTGCGAACTGCGTCGAGGAGAAGGAATGGGTGGATCTTCTAACTAAGATCTGCCAGACCAATGCTAATCGACTGCAAAAATATCATCCGTGCGCTTTTATTAATGGACAATGGTTATGGTAATACTCTTTGTTTTATACGAAATGGGAAAGTTTTATTAATTTCTGTGTGTCTGTGTTTCAGTTGTAAGTCGGCGAATGTATTAGCACCAGGATGTACTGCAGTATCTGTAACGGACAGCAATAACTTTCATATGACGTTAGATCCGGAACGGGATTTACAAAGGATGCATTCTTTAGTTCTCACTCATGCCTTGAAACTGAATCAAATGTATCCATCAACGAACGGTACGCAATTAATGCACGGCGTCAGCAAAAATAGCGTGACCGACCTGATCGATGTCACATACAGCATTGAACAAAAGCATAGGTCTTACCAAAGAGCGTTAGCGCGAGATACCAAATTAGGAAGCATGTAAGTATAGAGCTAAACGAAAGCTCGAATCTATAATAATATTATCCGTCATTTTCCAGAGCTGCTCCCATCGGTGATGATAATTATCTGCTAGCATCTAGAATGAATATCGAGCCTGCACTGTACTCTGTTATCCAGAATATTCCTTAAGCAAATTAGGTTTTTTTTCTCAAATTCAAAGACTGTGGTTATTATTTACACTTTTAAAAGAAACTTAAAAGGGAAAGAAATATTTTACTAATGATAAACTAATATATAAACGTAATAACAACAAGGCAGAACGTACCCTATTGCTCATATATATATATACATATATTTATTTCTACATAAGTATATTGATAAATATAATAGATTTTTTTTTAATTTCTTATGACTCCAGTTTGTTTCTCTTTCTAGATTGTAAAATAGAAAAGTTGTTTGATGTTTGTATTAAAGCAGTACAAAGTAACATAATATAAATATACACATATATTTTACTAATTCGTCTTCTATATATATATATTTAAAAAAAGAGAAAAAATAATATATTACATATTAACAAGTAAATATGTAATTCATAGCAATAAACTGTTGCATGTGAGAGAGGTTAATTCAGAAAGTGAATTAGTTATTAGATGATATGAAATCACTATTTTTGTTCATTATTTTGTATTATATTTGTACAGTTATTCAGAGGCCATAGTAATGGGGCATTTATTTAACAAAAAGCTAAACATTGTTATCTAACTCTGTTACATTTTAAATATATTATATAATATAATCGATCTTAATTCTGTTACAAAAAAGAAGAAACAATGAATCCACCATATATATGTAAATTCTGTTATAACAACTATTATTATTATTATTTTCTCTGGTATTTATTAATTATTTTGTTGTGTAAATTTCGTTTTTGTACATATATTTTTTTTTATATTATTAATGTAATGAATCGTATTTCTTTTTATTTTCTTACTTCGATTGTTCGTTGCATTTAATGCATTTCGTTCTTTAATCTGTCTTCGCGCTCCTTTATGTATTTTTTTTAAATATAACTTATTAACTATTTCGTAAATTATTATTAAAAGCAAGTCTTTTTCGTATTCGTTTTATTTCTTACGATATTACTGGAAATTTATTCAGAAGACACGACAAATATAGTTTTGATATTCGATTGCCTTAATTAAACATAAATACGCTTTACACTGTTAAATGAATCTTAAGTTAATGTTAACACGTTTTTGATTTATCCTCATTAAACTAATGTTTGTTCTTATTCATAGACAAGATAAAAAGTTTAATAGTTGTTAATGTTAGATTTGTATAGTATTTATTTTTTTAGAATTTTTATATTGATAGACATATTTACATAGGTGATTACAGTTGCATCCGAAACTTGCATATAACGAAATGTAATTTACCTCAAACGTGACTTTCGTTATAGACTAGTTTTCGTGTTCGTTTTCGCACTTTTCTTAAACAAATTTCACTACATGCATAGATTTAAAAAAAAATAATGTTTAACGAGATTAATTCACTTCGATACATTTAAATTTATAGTACTTTAGTCCATTAAGTTTTAGAAATGCGATAGTAGGAAATAAATAAAGACATGTAAACATTATTTCCAGCCAAATGATGTAATAAATGGAGATTTGCGATCTTTATTTTCTGTGAATTTAGTTTGCATATACAATCTGTTCAAATTACTTAAACCAGTGATATATAAATAGTACAAGTGCTAGAGGTTAGTATTCAAAATAATCGCTAACATTTGATATAATTTTGTTTTTTTTTGTAATTCTCGAAGATTCAATAAATATTTTTAAATTTAATAAACATTTCTATTAAACCTAATTCAATTTTCAATAAACTAAATAAACTGACTTATTTGGAAGTAGTATAATCTATTAAGAAGATACTTTAAACAAACAATTGTTAGTCAAAATACTGTATCAATTATTACCTATTGTAAATAATGTATAATATCAATGATTATATTTGATTTCAT